TTCTTTAATCGTAAAATTACTGAAAACCATCCTGACGAACACGGCCATCTGAGAGGTGTCAACGACATCTGTATTAGCAGAAAGTTGGATAGATTTTATAGCAGACACTATCTCGTCATTATTTCTAAAGTTGGCAATTAATGAATCTGCAGCTTCTAAAAACATCTGCTTTATCATTTCCCCGTATTCATAAGGCTTTTTCTTTTGTGTAATTATCTAGGACACCAGGTATGATGCTTCAGTTGCAGCCTTGCTTTTGTCGATTGTTTTTAAAAACATTGTCTGTTGTCCAATTAAGTGATTTTTTAATTGTTTCATTTTTTCCGTTCTGGTTGCAGAACGTAATGGAAATGCTTTTTCAAAATTTGAATGTACAGTTTTATAGTGCCTCTTGATATTCCCTTTGTCAGCAACGGAAACAGATGTATTATATAACAAACATACATTTTTACCTTTAACTTCTGTGAAGAAATATTGTTCTTCCCATTCCGAATGGAAATGGTATGCCTTCATTTTCTTACTTATTATCTTGCTTATTAATTCGGCTCAAAGTAATCGAGATCGTTCTCGAACAGATCGCTCACCGCAGTGTTGCCGCTGCTTGTGTTTATTATGAGAATTTCCAAAATTCACGGAAGCTTCTATGATTTTTACACTTTTTCAAAATATGTTGTGAGTTACCAGAATTACCTTTGCGAGCTGCCGGTTGGTGACCACTGAACTAGATAATAAAGGACCGTTGTTCTAATGGACTTTCTGAAAGTACTTCAATAACTTCGACACATATTGAGGACATTCTGGTTGAAATCTGAAAGGGTTTCGCGGCCATCATCCAATATTATTTGGTTGGTTTTTGGGTTGTTGAGCCGCCGTAAAACATTTCTACCTGACCCTTTGCTAACACGAGTGGTTGGCATCTTCAGTAACTCACAGGACTCCAAACTGTGAACATCTTCTGGTGATGCCAACCATTCGTGTTGGCGAAACGTCAAGTAAAAATGTTTTACGCTGGCCTTACAACCCAAAAACCAACCAAATGATGTCATTTGTACAACAATGTGTAGTTGTTATCTCGAGGCATTGTTATGTGTTATATCGAAGTATAACAACTGGAAAACATAGATCGTTTTTGAAATATAAGTTGACTTGTTGACAGTGACAGATATAAGTGTGGAAGGCACATTGACTCATCCGTTGTCCAGAATAGCTTCAAAGCGGTAAGACAAAACTAAAAGACGTATATGTCTGAGAGCCCGTAGAAGCAAACGCCTGCGCATTGAGCCAATTGCTTATGTATGAGGGAAATGGATGTATGGAAGTAATTCTTGCAAAAGAACTATAGTTCTTTTAGCTTTAAGTCCCCAAGAGGCAACCGCAAAGTACACAAATCCGGCCTTAATGCAACTGCTAACCGTCAAAAGACCTACTATGTCTCTTTACGGATTTTAGCGGGTCAAAGTAAAACTACCAGCGTCAGTCCCATACCTCCATTAATCTTTATTTAGTCGATTCACTTAGTCATTTCGAAAGAATATCGCATTCATACGTAGCCGCCAAAATCAGTGAAACGAAGTTCACAGTATAGTTGCTTATAACATAACAGCTGGCACAATATCCCAAAGAGTTTGGAATATATTTCTCATGATTATCATGTCCAATTCCTTTCGCACATTGCGGGTTTCAGAAGTATAGAAGGACATTATCCTAGTTCTTCTCTATAAGTTTACCCTTTATGTTTTTGCGTCCTGAACTTTTTTGTGTTGTAACCGAGTTTCTAGGAAAATAAATCACACGCTCCTTAAAACAACAAAAAATTCGCAGACGCCTTTATGATAAATGCAGTGCTTTATGGAGATTACGAGTAGAGTTGTAAAAAGCAACAGAAAGAAAACATCTAATAAACCGAGCTTTTACATATTGTCATATTCGTAGGGATCGATGTTTCTCAGCTTATTTCATAATGAGGTTCTTCTTCTTCTAGAGACTCTTTATAATTGCAATGTCAGGTAACTCAGACGTTCTTGGCAGTGCTTGGCTTCTGTGTTATGATTGAAATACTTTTCTCCAGTAGGGCATAATTGATAGGTGAGTAAGGGAATATTAGTCAGAGTCTTAAATACCTGCAGATACGATAAACAGACAAGTAGACTTTGTATGCAGAAATTCCATAAATGCAATTAAGTTGAGTAATTTTCAGAGCCGCTATACCTCTTTATGGATCCAGGTCCTTTGGCGTGCAAGTCATACCACTTTGGCTATTTGAATGAGAACGTCTAGCTGTTGGCCAAAGAGATCTTAGGTAGTATATGTGTGAACATGCACAAGCGACACATTGCTATATAACAGGACTATCAATTCTAGTGATCTAAAGTAGATATTATCGAGGATCTTACTATAGTAATACAAAGAGATCCGACAAAATTCAATGATATCTAAAGAGCTCGAAGCATTTACAAGGAGATCAAGATATCCAAAAAGGACTAAGGGGATTCAAATAAATGTGAGCGGGGGAGAGCTTTTGTTCCCAAAACGTGCCAGTGGCTAGCCCCCTACGCCACTACCGGAAGTCACAAAATTATGGTTAACGGTCAATAACAATGTAAACAACAGAGAAATATTGTTAAATTTTAAGACGAACGTCCAAATCATACTTATCACCTTAGTTGAATTTATGAGTGAAGTAATCTTTATGAGACGTTTTGTTTTGAAAGAAAATGTCATGAGTAGATATTTAAAGCCATAATTGTGACAAAATATTAAATCACTATACGGAATTATTTTCAATCAATTTACAATGGCCTCATGATTCACCTGTCTCATAGTTGAAAAACGGTAGTTGCGAACAATGTCTTATCATGCATTGAAGGTCTAGCAAACATTTCAGAATCCTTTGTCCAGCCTGCTGTCTTTCTTATGACATCTAAATTCAGCCTTTTTCGGCTTGCTGCCGACGTCGTCGCAGGTCTAGTTCTATGTACGCTAAAAAGTTAAGTGTCGATACGACTCTCTCTTATAGTTGATTTTATCCATCTACTAACAGTCTGTGATGAGGCATCCTTGAGAGGCTTTTGTAAGTCAAAAATAACTGAATGCTGTTTTTCTCCTTTGAGCTTTTGTCCTCTCTATATAAGACTCATGAGTAGTAGCACACAGATACTTCTCCCCTCAGGGAAGTAAGGAACATAAGGACAAGGTTGTAAACGATGCTGCTAGAAATACGTATCTCAAGCCCACTATTGTTTTTTACGATATCAATCAATATCGATGACTGATAAGGTCTGCAATCAAAGCTAATAACGTCACAGTTTTGTATGATAAATTTTCCAGGGTAATTACCAATAAATATTACCAATGCTAAAGCTGACCTATAGATATTTAAGATGCCATAGATCATATTTATTACCTCTTACATACTCCTTTTGAAGCAATTCTACTATTGTGAAAATATTGTTCCGATTTGGATTCAAGCCCTGAAGATAGCAAATATTCCACCAGCGTTTTAGTCCGCCCTCGTACTGCTTCAGCGTAGGTGTGGTGATTGAAGCAACCATTGTGTTAGCTAATGATGTTGATATGTCTCTGTTGTTAAGGGCTTGGCAGATAAAATTCCTGCCACCAGCATAATCTTCTTGTACATAGGGTGACGTAGTTTGTCAAATGACGGTAAAAGAGTGTTGTTAGGTGGAAAATGCACTAATTCAGAATCGAATGATTGTAGAAATAGGGGATTCTAGGACTAAGTGGTCCACAATGGGACTACAACAATACCACTAGAATCCTAACTATACATTTTTTGCAACACTGGCAATATGATACTAAATGGAGGAAATGCATAAAATAAATATTTAGTCAAAGAAAATGTGAGAGCGTCTATTGCAAAGGCATCATGATCCTACTGTTTCAAGCCACGAAAGTTAACGTCATTTCTGGTTTTGTTGATTCTGTGACGTTTTTTGTAGTTTGGCTGATCTCAAGCATTCTATGAATCGGTTTCTTGGTGGGTCACATACGCTTGCGCGTTAGTCTGACATTAATGATTCAGCAATAAATGTAAGCACAAGGCAAATTCATGATCTTTAGTTTTCTGGATTCCTTTTGAAAAACTGAGAATATTGTTTGCAAGTAGGTGATACATCCGACACCTATCAATAGTTTGACAAGCTGATTTCATCCACATCCTATACGGTGAAGATGACATAATGACCCATACGTCTTCTGGCTTGTAACTGCTCAATGTTTTACAAATGTTGATCGTCAGATTTCTTACCTAATTGCGGACATACATTTTAGTACCTACGTCAACCTGTGTGCCATACTTTGATGATCCATATATAAAAATACTGCCACTTTTATTCGAATCATCGTTAATAAAAAACTACATGTATTGTTTGTGTCTTGTGACAGGTCAAGTTTGTAATATTAAAGGTAGATATTCTGAGAGCTACGGTAGAACCACAGTTTGTGAAACATACCTTTACATGAACAATAGGTTTAAAGAAGTTGTTACACAGTATTAACACGACGTAGATCAACCCAGTAGGATTATATTGTTTAAGCAATAGTCTGCTCCGTATTCAAATGAAAGGCAAAAGACGGATTTTAGAGCAGCCGAAAACTCCAACTTTATCTCTCCCAAGGTCATAAAAGCGGCGAGGTTGTAAAAATGAAATTCTTGTGCAAATTTTTATGTTCCTATTGCAATAATTGCACCACAGACGAAGCATAAAGTTCTTATGGCTTGCAACGGCGAACGAAACTTTAGTTGAGATTTTACTAGACATAGAAGGAATCTGCTTTGAGTTTGTAGGAGGGAATCAATTATACAGCGTGAGCTTGCTTGTATCTGCAAATAGGCTAGTCTTAACCATAACAAAAAATATGTAGTACTGAGGGGTACTTTCTTTATACCAAAGCAGCCGCGCAGGCAGAAGCCTAAATGCCAAGGCTGCTATGAAGATCCCAACGGAATTTTGTTAATCCGATTTTTGAAATGCCTAAGGTTAATAGAACTGGAAAAACTTCCTCGGGACAAAGGAACGGTTGTATCGGCCAGTTCTGGATGTACGAAGTTCGACACGGTTAGGATGGGAGGCCAATGTCAGGCGGGTCTCTCTGACAAGCACATCGCGCGACGGCATCATGGAGGACAGCTCTGAGGAGCGAAGCCCGTAGGTGTGGCGGTAGAAGAAAGCTATATCACCGACGGGCCGCCGGTGCAAAAGAGTCGCGAGACCGTCTGTTAGAGAAGAGTCATCGATCAGTCAGACAGCCATGAAGCATAAATAATGTAGTCGGGCGGCAGCACCCCAAACGTGTGGGCAATACTCCAGGCTAGGCCTTATCTGGGCCTTGTATAGAATGAGAAGGGAGAAAACTACTTCTTAGCCCTAAACAAATGGTCTAGCTTTTTCCAGCAGCTGCCGCTATTGACGAGACGTATCCTGCCAGATCAAGTCCTCGGTGATCTTGACTCCAGCCGAAATGAATGGAAGCATTAAATTGTAGAAGATTGTTGCGTCCCCAAGCATTGATAAGCTCCAGGTATCTCCTCGGACAGGAAATCGTCGCTACGCTTCTTTTTACCAGTTCAGCGGCAGAGATGGGCTTGTCCCTCTGAATTACTGCTTGTAGAGTGCTATCATCCGCGTTGACGTTGTGGAATGAAGAGGAGAACCAGTCAATCACAACGGATATCCTGCGACCAGAGAGAGTCAGCCACCCAAGGTGGCAGAGCTTCTCTGGGAGGCCATAGGATGGAAGTTTGCATAAGAGGGCAGCGTGCCACAGCTGATCCAACGCTTTCGTGATATCAAGAGCAACGACACGAGCCTCACCATAAGACTGGATGAGTTTGCTCCACAATTGCGGGACGTAAGCTAGGAGGTCCCCTGTTGATCGCTGGTGCCGGAAACCATACTGTCTGTCGCTAATCAAGCCGTGTCATTCGAGGTAGCCCAGAAGCTTGTGATGTATGGACCTCTTCCTCACATTACTTATAACAAGAAGCAGAGCCATAGGCCTGTAGTTGTAAGGGTCGGCCTGTTCTTTAGATGGGTTGGATATGAGCAAATATCCAGTTTTCTGGGAAAGTGCCGGATTCGTAAGACATCAGGAAGAGACGCGAAAGAACTGCTGTCAACTTCCCCAACGCCCAAGTGCCATCGATTCAAATGGTTCCCTACACGATGCGGGAAGTAACATTCAGGCATAAGACCACGGTGGAGAGTGGAGTGAGTTTACGTTCGGAATTCTTGATACTCGAGGGATACATCATCATTAATTTCTTTATTGGGGAAGATAACCGACTGGGCAGGTTAGGTGTGAAAATATGCGGACATTTATAAGACACCCTGGGAAATGCTAGCGGATGGTACCGCCTCGGTCGACTGGTCTTTGTCTGCCACCTTCTTTTTGCGTGTCAATAATGTTAAATATATCTAAAGTGACCCACTGGCGGACTTGTACCGCCACCTGTCAATCGGTGCTGAGGTGTTCCTTAACGCGTGTACAATCACTTGAACGAGAAGAAGTTGTATACAACAACTTAAGGAAAAAGCATTTGCTACAGCCCCGCTCAGTAGGTTACAATACCCTTTTCTATTTGATGATATTAAGAAAGATAATTCTCTTTATCATTATTCAATTGTCGCGGAGCCACTAATAAAAAAACCATTGTTTCCAAGCATGCAAGTTGGCTCTCAATTCACTCATGCTATCAAAAATATAAAACGTGATCGGACATTTATAGCATTACTTAAAAATAATTTTTTGTGTTAGTAAAAGTTTCAAGCGTAAGAAGTTGTGGGTAACAACTAATACAAAATAAAACGTCTGTATCGCTTGACGCTCACAGCTTGAGTGGTGCGATGGCTGGCCGTGCTGTTGCTGGCTTGACCCTGACGATAGAGATTTTGGTACTTGCAGCGACAATTGAAGACATAAGTGGATACAGGAGTCATGTCACAAAATGCAAGTTCAGAGTTATTTAGGAAAACGTGATTTGATTTGTAATTTTTTCCATTATTTTAAATTAAAACCACTTGTTCGATATGTTGAAGTACAGTACTTTTATTGTACTAGATTGACGACACTGAAAAATTATTAGTTTATTAGTAAAAATTGCAAAAAATGTACATAACTTCTTTATCCATTAAAAATTAGACTGTGGTAGAATAACCAGATACGTGGAAATAAGTGTCAAGTACTTTATTATTTAACACATAATACTAATAAAGTGTACAATATCAGAAGATACATGTTTAAAGAGTCATTCATTTCTTTTTTGGATGTGGTAAGTTCTCCTGTATACTTTCGTAATAGGTTCAGATTCAGATTCATTTATTGAACCAGTTAAATCTACATTGTAGACATTGGATAAGTCGGTGTAAACAGATTAAAATATAGATAAAGTGAAGTACAATACAAATAACAATAGGAACATAAAAAAACAATATGATATATACACACATGGCAATAAATTATTCATTAAGATCTATAAGAAGCACTGTGGAATGTGGCAAATTCATCTAGGTCATAAAAACCGTAATCCAATAGCCTTTTCCGCAAACGTCTTTTGAAAAGCACTATGATATGACATATGCCTAACTATATTATTGTTATTACGAGTGCTGTAGTCATGGAGGTCAGTATGCTTAAGATAATCATTTCTGTGCTGAAAAATGTATGATAAAATTTTATAAAGATATATACATGCTACAGTAAGTATTTTGTGTTTAACAAATTCTTTCTTTATTCTAAGACAAACACTCTAGAGATTTCACTAGCCTGGCCCCACGCAGTAATGCCAGAGAGAGAAATGACAGAGTGTACACACGCAGAGTAGACATCCATGCCGAGGTGTTGAAAATCCTCCCTAGCCTAAGTATTAGATACAGACTTTTTCCAAGCTTCTTACATACGGAAACAATTTGCTCTGTCCATCTTAAATTGCAATCAAAGCTTACACCTAAAAACACAGTATTTTTAGAAGTTACAACTGTCTTGCATTGAAGACTGAAATTAAAATTTGATGGAATTTTTGGTTTCATAAAATATTCAATTAAAACGGTCTTTTTGTATTTATTATTAGTGTGTTTTTGAAGCACCATTGACTGAACTCATTAACCGAATCATTAATTTTTTCTTGAAGAGGCTCTTGCGATCAGTCAGCTAAAATGCTATTTGTGTCGTCCGCATACAAAAGTAATTTTCTGTAGGATAAGTGTGCAGGCAAATCATATATGAAAATCGAGAAAATAAGTGGTCCAAGGACGCTGCCTTGAGGTGTGCCCCAATCTAAATTGAATTCATCAGATTTTTTATCAACGACAGTAACATAAAATTTTCTATTCTCTAAAAAGCTAACTAGCCATTGATTCAAATATCCGCGAATGCCGACATGAAGAAGTTTTTCGGCCACAAATGACGAACTTACACAATCAAAGGCCTGAGGCAAGTTAAATTGGATACTCACTACGTAATTACCTAAGTCAAGTTTATCACAAACATACTGAACTTACTCGATAATGCTTGTTTCGGTTGAGTAGCCTGCCCTGAAACCATGTTGAGCATATGTGATAATAGCAAATTTCAGAAAGTAACTTTCAATTTTCATTGCAACCACTTTTTCAATGATTTTCGAGAAAATACTTGATAAGGCGATTGGCCTATAGTTTTCAACATCACAATTTTCATCTTTTTTAAATATCATAAAGCCAGTTTAAGAGCTGTTGGAAATTTGCCAGCAGCAACCGATTCAGTAATGATGTCTGCTAATACTGGGGCAAAGGTATCCATGTTCTGTTTTACTAAATAGATTGGAATTTCATCCGGCCCTGTAGATTTCTTGCCTGACACATTACTTATTACAAATAACATCATCAGTAGTGACATGGGTGAAAAACATTGATTGTTTGGCTGTTTCACCAGTAGTGCAACAATCCGACAAAACGGTAAAATTGTTGGCCACTTACAGTGGATACATGTTTTCCAAAAAAGTTGGCGATATCAGTAGGTTATAGTTATGTGGTCGTGGACCAATTCTGTGATGACTGCATTTTTTTGTTTGTTTTTTTTTTGCACTGACTTCAATAACCATTTCTAGAGAAAGGCTGTTCAGGTACCAGATTGGAGCACACAGATGTAAGATATTTGCTCTGGAAAATATTTCCGTACCTCCATGTATGCGATGAGTACGTGCGAAACAACTTACCAGACTGAAGCTTCCAAGACCAAGGTTTTGAATCAGATCATTATCAAGCCAATGCTCTGATAGAAGTAACATATCAATACTATTCTAATCCAAAAAACATTCTAATCGGTCCATTTTATTAAATAAACTTTGAATGTTTATGTTGAAGATTTTCAACTTATCCGCACAATCGTTGCATTCCTGGCTCTTGCGGTTGTCAGAAGTTTTATGCTCTTCACTTGTCATTTGTATGAAAGAACATGTATGGTTTTATTTGCCAGTGTCAGAAACAATTTCTCTAACAGCGGAGTCGACTTTTATTTTAAACGATTCAGTTCGACTATTCTTTCATTTAGGAAGCATTTCAATTTCAAACTTAGTTTTGGCAAAAAACATTTGCATATGTTGCTCTATGCCAGCAACGCCAGCCCCTGCGAGATTCTTCCAACATATATCCAGGATTTTCGTTTGATTGCAGATATGATAAATGCATCAGATGATCCTGTTCCAGAAATAATATTACTTTTATTAGCTATCTGTTTATTTACAATCTTTTTGGTTCCAGTGTCAATGAACTCTTTCGTTTTATATTGTGTTCTTGAATGAGGAACGAACGAACACTTCGTATTCTTCATCTATCTACAAGCTTTGTTTCACCTTTGAGGCTTTGTAGTGTTTTATAGTTAAACCTCCAAACCTTTCTGTTAGCCTTGTTGGCGTTCACGTGTATTTTTTTGCTCCGATATTTGAACTGCCTAAGGTTAGTAGATCTGAGAAAAGCCTCCTCATGTAGATTGTTCCACAATATCGATACCCTCGGCTTAGCTTCTAGCGATAAAAGAGCGGTCGGATCGGAAAGTTCTGGATGTACAAAGTTCGACACGGCTAGGATCGGAGGCCACAGTCAGGCGGGTCTGTCTGGTAGGCACATTGCGCGACGGCATCATGGAGGAGAGCTCTCTGGAGAAAATTCCATTGGCGTAGCGGTAGAAGAGAGCTAGAGCGCCGTCGTCCCGCTGATGCGAAACGGTCCCGAGACTGTCCGTTAGAGAAGAGTCATCGATCCACTGATCTGACAGCCCTCTACTGAACAGCATCAAGCATGGATAACGTAGTACTCGAAGCTAGGTCATACGTGCGCCTGGTACAGTGAGGAGGTCATGTAGAGAAAAGTACTTTTAAGCCCTAAACAAGTAGCCTAGCTTTTTCGCAGCAGCTGCCGCTATTGATGAGATGTGTTTATGCCAGATCAAGTCCTTGTAGACGTGGTCTCCGACCAGCCGAAATAAACGACTATTTGGTAGAACTCGCCCATCCATCGAAACCTGATGAGCGCTAGGACGATTCTTGTTAGTCAAGATACAGTACTGCGTTTTGGAAGCATCAAACAGTACAAAATTGTTGCGTCCTCAAGCAGTGATGACTCGCCAGAAAGGAAGTCGTCGGTAGTATTCCTTTTTCCAACTCGTCGGCAGAGATCGGCTTGTCACTCTGGATCCCTGCATGTCATCAGCAAAGCTGTGGATCGGATTGATCGTACAGGACAGGAGGTCGTTGATATGTGAGAGGGACAATTTTGGAGCCAAGACCGATCCTTGGGGAACACCCGAGTTGAAATTGTAGGATGAAGAGGTAAAACCATCTATTATCACCTCAAAGGTCGGATGTTACCAGCAACTAACTTATCTGTCGATATTTATTTAGTTCATAGTGGTTTTATGTCGCATATTAGGATATAGCTCATATCAACTGAAACAGTCGCAAATTCACTTGACATGCCACCTTAATCAACTGAAATTATCTGTTTAGAAAGAATATCATACATATGGGGTCGGCAGAAATCGAAAAAGATGACTTTGGTAAGAACTGTGATATGACACCTTAATCCACTTGTCTTCAATTGTTTGTAAAATCGACGATGATTTCGCCAATAACAACATGCATATCCTCGGGTATCAAGTAGTAAGTGTATGATTGTTTACGTCTCTCCGTATTATGGTGCAGACTCCGTGCTGACAGACTGGATTGACAAATACATTTATATACTCGTATAATGAAGAAAAAGGATATACTGGACCACACAGCATTAGTGTTTGTTTGGTAACGGATAAATGTACCTTACCCGAGTAGCAGCATTAAATATTGTCTGACAAGTAACTCAGTAATTATTAATTTACACATTACAATTATTAAACTTGAAGTAAAACAAAATACCAAACAGATCTAAATAATGCAAATGCCCTATTTATCGACGCTTGATCATTTCGGTCGGATCAGCGACTGAGCGCTTTCGCGCCAGACACTTCTTATCAAGTTCGATTTGGACGCTGAAATAGATATTTCAAAGGGATTTGGTCTATCTCTGTAACAAGTCTCATACAGATCCGTTCAGCCATTTTACCGTAGGTGGGAAACAATTATCCTCACTTTTTCATTTATAATATTAGTAGGAATACAGCTGAGGCATGTACTAGTGGCTCAGGACAAAAATACCAAATATTGTCACTATTAGTTTGCTTACTTTCATACATTTCTAACCAAAGTACAAGCGTTTCAAGGTACTGTGCTTACAATTTTGGTATACAAGGTTGGGAATCATTTCTGAAAGTCACACTAAGTGAAGACAACATATATTATGTATCCAGTAGCTCGAGCCCGCAGCTTCGCATCCGTATAACGAAACCCAGAAAGTAACATTATATCGATTTTTTGGAACATTATGTTGTTTTTTGGGTAGAGTAACCTATTGGCTACTGTAAGTATTTGTTACAATAAATTTTACTGTTTTTTTGACATTATATTGTTTTTTTACGTAATTACCTTTCACTCTCATGGAACTAGTGTAAACTACAGGTGATTCGTTTTGCATTAATCTGAAGGAAATTGGTTCTGGAGAAGAAATGCAATATTCAAAGTAATTAGTTACTTTGGCAATGTACCTTTTTTTCAATATTTTAAATCACCAATAAATTAATATCAAGTGTGTAATCATAGTGAAGTATCTCACAGCTTGTGTAACATATACTGTAATATCTTAACCCAACAACTATATATGCACAGTATTAAACTTGTAATAAAACGAAACACCATACAAATCTAAATCAAGACGATCATGTTAACAAAACGCACACACACTCACACCATACTACCCTGTGCGGTCCCTCCACCACCCCTCTTCCAGGCAACCTCAAACCCTTGAGGAGTGGGGGGAAGAGCAATCTGCTCCTTCCTCCTCTCCCGCCCGAAGGCCTGGCGTGGCGCTGCGTGGTACAGGCCGCTGCGCATTCCCCGAGTGTGTGTTGCGGAGCGAGCTACCCCCCTCCCCAATTTTGCACCTTTTTCCCGAAATTTGACTGGATCGCGCACGCGTCGCGGAAGCGCGTGGTGGGCGTTTCATCCAACTGTCGGTTCTCGACTTTTATGGACGGCCTCTTTCTTGGGGGTCCTGCGCTGGCGGCTTTGACCTAAGCCCCGCATTAAGGTTGGTGAGCCTTCGCTCTTTCCTCGTCGACTGGAGTCAGTCAGTCAGTCATTTGCTGTTTGTCTTCGTCTCCTGAGGTTAGCCCCGAGTCCGTGCTTAACTCTGGCCACCTCAATCGACAGGCTTCTTTTTGTCCACCCATTATACACGGGCTTGGGTGTACACAACTATTGTCGGTCTTCTGCCCTTTTCTTTGGACTCATCAACTGCTAGGGCCAAATTTCTTCTTGTTGCAGCTGGCTTTTCGGTATTTTATGACGCCTTATTGTTCTTGGGTCGTAATCCAAGGCGTTTTTAATCAGCACATTTCGGTGTCTTTCGTTCTTTTCAAAGAACTTTCGGGCCCTCTCTCTCATCTGGATTACGACCGATACCTGTCGTCATTCGTCATATAGCACTCTGTTAGGTACATACCACGGTGCGTCCACCACCTCACGGAGTGCTATGTTTTGTTGAGCTTGGAGCCTCTTCTTCAACGTTTTGGAAACGTAGCCCCAAGCTACTGCTGCGTAGGTCATGATGTGGAGCAGCACCATCTGAATCATGATGGTCTTATTCTTTAAGGACACTTTGTTTCTTCTGCCTATTAAAGGTCTTAGTTTGGAGCATGCCATATTCACTTTCTGTACCTGGCCCTCGACATGGTTCTTCCAAGTGACTTTTTGGTCCATCTTAACTCCAAGGTATGTGCTGGAGTCCTTCCAGTTTTCCTCAACTTATTCGTCTCTTCTCCAGCCTCTCTCCATTCTGGTGGTCGTCATCTTTATTTTGGTTTGAGGTAATCTTCGATTTCTTCGGAACAGTACCGCTTCGGTCTTCTCAGGGTTGAGACGGATCTTCCACTTGACGCACCATTCCTCTAGGTTGGTAGTCGCTTGTTGCAGATATTTCGTAATCATGCAGGGTCTCGTACTTTCTGCCGCATATGCTGTATCGTACGCATACACATACAGTTGCGTTTGTGGAGTCTTCGGGATGTCTGAACTGTAGATTGCATACAGCAGCGGTGAGAGAACCGCTCCCTGAGGTACTCCTGCCTCCACAGTCCTACGTCGTCGAAGATGCTTTACCAATACTAATTCAGAATTTACGATGCTTCAAATAGGACTCCACCAGTTGGATCATCCCCGTTGAGTATCCGAGGTCTACCATCTTGTAGATCAGTCCGTCTTGCCAAACAGTGCCGAACGCTTTAACGGCATCCATGAACACAGCTCCAACGGCCCGCCGAGTCTGGAACGATTTCGTTGCCATCTCAACCAGCCTTAGGACCTGGTGCTCTGCTGAATGTTCGCTTTGGAATGCGAACTGTTCGTCTGGAACTACTCGGAGTTATTCAGTTTCGTTCCTCAGTCTTCGCTCGATTACCCTTTTCGCAATCTTGCTCAATGCCGTCCAAAGGCTTATGGGTCTGTAGTTTTGGGGAATCTTGGGTCTTTCCCAGGTTTTGGTATGTTGATCACTTCGGCTACTTTCCAGTGTTCTGGAAAGTATCGGTGTCTCAGTATAGCGTTGACAATGTTGGTGATTGCCATTATCGCTTTTCTCGGGAGTCTCTTCAAGACTCTGTTCCCAATTTCGTCTACACCCGGTGCTTTCTTCACCTTGAGTCTTCCGAGGATTTCCCTTACCTCGCCTGGAGAGGTCATGTCCTCAATGGCTCTCCCTCCTCTTACAGCTCTCCTCGATCTTCTTATCACCTCGTCGATGAAGTCTTCGTCTTCATCGGGGTGAGTATTGAGAGTACACTGTCTCTGAAGGTTGTCAGCAAAAGCTTCTGCCTTCTCTTCGGTTGTGTATACCATCCCCTGTTCGCTGTGTATTGTGGGGATGGGCTGTCTTCTGTTTCTGAGGATTTTAGCCAAGTTTCACATTCCTGGATCAGCTGGAGATAGTTCTTCGAGTTTCTTATCCCAGGTGCTCCGATGATGCTGCTTCAGGGCATCTCTTGCCTGTCTTGTCAGTCTGTTTGCCACCATGATATCCGTGGGGCTTCTGGTCCCCTGGGCTACTCTTCGGGCTCCATTTCTTTCGGTGATCTTGCGATTTACCTTGTCAGGTAGGTCCCTGAGCCTGTTTGGTTGCGTTATGTCTTCCACGGTGGTTGCGGCTTCTAACGCAGCCTTAATCTTCCCTTCTACGTCCGTGACCGCTTCCTCTATGTCTTCAGGGCTTTCAATCTGAAGAAGTGGTCCTAGTGCAGTCTGATTCTAATTCGCTGCCAATCCACTCTCTTCAATGTTCTTTGCTCCACAGGTGTTCTCCCATCTCCCAAATGAAGCAAGATGGGGTTGTGGTCTGAGCTTCCCTCTTGCAAGGTCGATATCTTTCAGAATCGCCATATGACGCCTGGTCTACCTCCGTTGCTGGGGTATATTGTGGGTTCGTCAGGACCTATCATGGTGTATCCAGGTTCATCCATTAGTCTTTCGAGAACAGTGCCATGACTGTTTCTATTTCTTGAGCCCCAAAAGGTGGGCTTCCCATTTAGGACACCTACGATCCCGGTACTATTTCCCAGTGCAGTGAAACAGGTGACATCTTCCAGATGAATCGTCGATGTAGGTGGTACGTAGATAGATACGATGTTCAGAGGGATATGATCGGTTGTGCGTACCGTCACTCCTTCGGCCTCTGCAGATCTCAGTTCTGGCAGTTCCAGTTCCCAGCGGGTAATGCTGGTCTTGACATCAAGCAGCACCCCACCTCCGGTTCTGTTCCGGTCTTTTCTATATGTCGTGTATCCCTGTATCGTCCAGTGTGGGATTTCCCCAGAGATCCACGTTTCTTGTAGTGCCATTACATCATAATTCCCTCTTGTTAGGACTTCGCCTATCTCATATTTCTTGTTGGAAACACTGTGAACGTTCCAACTCAATATCTTCAAGCCCCTATTAGCAATGGTTATTGGAGTGCCCATTTGGAGTTTCGGTCAGTGCTATCCTTTTTAGGCGTATTTTTGCTCCAGATGAGCAAAATACGCTTTCTTGGTAGCCGGATTTTTCATCAC